AATGTCTCTTTTTCAACATCGGTCATTGAACCCCATGTCAGCCATGGCTTAGAATATTGTTGCTTAATAGTCATTGTTATAGCTTGTGATGCAACCCGACATGGATGGAACCTTCGCCCAATAATTAAATTAAATAATAATCACAATTTCCTAATACTTGCAAATAATGGGAATAATATAATTTTAACTTAATTCTTACCCTAGACCATAAGGTGATATGATAGGAAGATTAGTGCCAAGTGGATGATCCTCCTCAATGTCTCGATTGTGCGTCACCTTCCTGAATATGCACTTCTTGGTCTTCCCTAGCTAGTGTATGATGGACTCTAGAAGGCACCGATAATATCGAAGGCAATGTAGCTCCTGGGGAAGGTGTCGATGCAATGACAGGTGATGGACTAGGGTTGGGTGCATCAAGCTGGGATGGGGCGAAGTGGTTGTAGGTGCAATATTGTTTGTATGGGCATGTATATTCTCAGCACCTACAGATGAAGAAGGTATAGGTGCAGGAGCTATAGGTGGGGGAGGGACATTTATTTTAAGTATATAGCGTGGTTTTTTCGTTTCGTTACTTTTTTCCCCTTTTTGGGATGAGACATGGGAGGTTGGGGTGAGTCACATCCTCCTGATGACATATCTGTACATAAGAAATTTATATAGTCAATTATGCGAAGGAATAACGTCATACATAATATGCAATATAAAAATTAACTCATAAAGAACAATTTCTTAACTACACGAATCCTATTCATCTTCATCTTCTCCCTCTCCCTCTCCCTCTTCCTCGTCCTCTTCCTCGTCCTCGTCCTCTTCCTCTTCCTCTTCTTCTTCATCTTCTTCTTCTTCTTCTTCTTCTTCTTCTTCTTCTTCTTCTTCTTCTTCTTCTTCTTCTTCTTCTTCTTCTTCTTCTTCTTCTTCTTCTTCTTCTTCTTCCTCTTCCTCTTCCTCTTCCTCTTCCTGGACTACTTCAACATCAACTTGTGAATGTTGCAATCCAAAAACACCTTCAACTTCAATAGCTTCATTTACATGGGACATTTCATCCATTTGGTAAGGAACATCATCTTCCATGTCTTGAGATTCTATGCGACCTCTAGGCTTTGTTTTTATAGCAACATACCACCCTTCTTTGTCCTTTCTTGATCTCGGATATGGGATATAATATACTTGTCTAACATTATGTGCCAAGATAAAAGGATCAAATGGTAAATATCTTCTATCTATGCGAATGTCTACAGTTCCATATTTAGGATCCACTAATGTACCTCTACGTGATGGATCAAACCATTCACAATAAAATACCACCACTTTCTTCGGGGAGGTTGAAGTATTATATTGCAACTCATATATGTGTTGAATGATGCCATAAAAATCATCTTCACCCCTTCTCGTAAGGCCTTTTACATGTACACCACTATTAATGGTTTTTTTCCCCTGAGTCCAAGCATGAGTGTGAAATTTGTATCCATTGACAAAGTATGTGTGCCATTTATTGACACATGTGAAAGGACCAATCGACAACTCCCTTAAGTGCATGTTTGTTACACTTAAAGGCTCACTATGAACCTACAAATGCAAATAAGGTACAGTCATATGTTCTTAAGCATATTGTAATAAACTAAGTTATTAATGTAACCATACATACTTGGTACTTAAACCATTGAGGAAAATGTCTATGTATGTGATTTGACACATTTGAGTCATTGGGTTGACCAGATTGCAAGAAGGAACTATGAAAAGATAGGAGAAGGATGGAGAACAATTTAATCAAATAAGAAAATGATATAATTATGAAATATAGTGTTTGAAATACTCACTCAAGGTATGACTTAATTTCAGTACAGGTGATCAAGACATGAACATGAGCCGAGTTCCACTCTTTTTGGGTTAACCAATGAATTGATGTCTTTCCTGAGTGACGACCAAGCACGTTAAAGACAGATAACCTTGATGGATCCCTTTCAATTTCAACTTGTATTTCATTTCTCTTATTCTGTGCTGATAGAATGAAGTTCTTGAAATAATGGGAACAAAAGTGAGTTGTCTCTCGATGCAAGTATGAGGCACAAATTGATCCTTCAACACGAGCTTTATTTTTTACTGATCGTTTAGAATCACCCATGAATCTATAAAATCAATGAAATGAGGATGGTATTAGCTCAATATTTAGTAAATCAAATTTTGTGCATAATCAATGATAGTCTTCTTACCTTTCAAATGGATACATCCATCTATATTGAACTGGTCCACCAAGTTTGGCTTCATACACAAGATGAATAGGTAAGTGCTCCATTGAATCAAAGAATGCAGGGGGAAATATTCTCTCCAACTTACAAAGAATTATTGGAATATTTTCTTCCATTTTAGCCAAGTCATGATGCCTCAATGTTCTAGAACACAAATCTTTAAAAAAATGGCTCAGTTCAGTAAGAGGGTTCCAAGCATGCACTGGTAATGAACTAAATGCAATAGGGAGTAAACACTCCATAAAAATATGACAATCATGGCTCCTCATCCCATGCATCCTTCCCTTGTCTACATCGACACATCTTGCTAAGTTGGATGAATAACCATCAGGCATTCTAAGTTCCTTGATCCAATGATAAACTAACTTTGCTTCCTCTGCAGTTAAAGTATAATTTGCTTTTGGCTTTACCATCTTCCCATTAGCCTGCAACTTCAACCCTAAATCTGGTCTACAACAATACAAAGTTAGGTCCTTCCTTGCCTTATCATTATCTTTTGTCTTACCTTTGACATTCATGACAGTGTTGAATATATTGTCAAAGAAATTTTTCTCTATGTGCATAACATCAAGATTGTGCCTCAATAAATTATCCTTCCAATAGGGCAAATCCCAAAATATACTTCTTTTTGTCCAATTATGCCATTCCCCATAGCCTGGTAACTTGTTCATATGAGGGTAATCTATGACTTTGGGTACATCCATAATTATACTCCAAACTTGCTCGGATGTCAATGTACATGCTGGGTCACCAGCTTCAGCTTTTCCCTTTCGAAAGCTTTTTTATTCCTTCTAAATACATGATTTTTGTGCAAGAACCTACGGTGTGAATCAAACCAACTATTTTTCCTCCCATTCTCGCAATGTAAAGGCCTTTGTATCCCCCATGCAATGCGGGCAGGCTAGTTTACCTTGAGTCCCCCAACCCGACAACATACCATATGCAGGAAAATCATTAATAGTCCACATCAAACTAGCCCTCATTACAAAATTTTGCTTCCTTGAAATATCGTATGTTTCAATTCCTCTCCACAATTGCTTCAGATCATCTATCAAAGGTTGTAAATACACATCAATACATGACTTTGGATTACGTGGACTCGAGAATGAGGCATGTCAAAAACATATAAGGTCTGGACATACATATTTCAGGAGGAAGATTATATGGGGTCATAATTACTGGCCAACAAGAATATGGGGTGGCAGATGCTTGAATATATGGATTAAATCCATCAGAACATAGACCTGGTCTTACATTACGTGGTTCAGCAGAAAAATCTGGATAAACTTGATCAAAATGTTTCCAAGCTTTACCATCAGATGGATGACACAACACACCTTCTGGTCTTTTATTGTCATAGTGCCATGTCATTTGTCCAGCCGTTTGCATGGATGCATACAACCTCTTTAACCTTGGAATTATAGGTAAATAGAACATGCTCTTAATCGGAATTGGTTTATTTTTACGAGTTTCAAGTTTTGGGGCATGATACCTAGGCTTATGACAAAATTTACATTGTAGTAAAGCTCCATCATTCTTCCCGTAACCATTATCATAAAAAAGCATACAACCATTAACACAACAATCGATCCTTTTAGCCTCCAATCCCAACTTTGAAACTAACCTCTTCGCATCATAATAGCTTTTTAGTAAACTATCTTTGTTGGGTGTTACATCCAAAAGCATTTTTATAATGAAATTTAAAGCGTGATCAGGAACATGCCAATTAGATTTGCAAGCTAACAATCTTACACATATGGACAATTTAGAGTCTAAAGCACCTTCAAACAAAGGTTTATTCGCTTCCAACAACAAATCATAAAATCTTTGAGCTTCTTCATTTGGAGGCTCTTCCATGATATTTGGCTCTGATCGTTGAAATGTTTCATGTTGCCTAAGTGCGTCATACACCATGTCCTGCATTGCCATCAATGACTCATCTTCTGAAAAATGTAACTCACTACTTGAAGCATGTGTCCAATTTTTGTTAGCATGAGGCATTTGCTCACCGTGATCAACCCAAACATAATAATCAGGCATGAAACCATTTTTATAAAGGTGAAGTGTAACCATTTCCATTGGCAATATCTTTGTACATTGACATTTATTGCATGGACATCTCGTTTGGACTTCCTTTTGATAACAAACTTGTTGAGAAGCTTTCATGACAAACTCTTCAACACCATCAATAAAACTTTGTTTTAAACCACCTCTTTTACTATGGCTTCGATCATACATCCAGTGGCGATTTTCATGAAATTGATCCATGTTCTACAAAATATGAACTTCAATTGTACACTAATTAAAATACCAACTTAGAATAGATTTTGACAAGTGTTTGGTAATGACCAGTATAATAACTTGAAGGCCATTCCATGTAGCCAACAAGGTTAGAATAACTAAATAACTAATCTCATCTTCATCCTGAATCAATGCAAACAAATTGAAAAAAATAATCAAACAAATCAATTCTTCCACTAGCCATGTTACATGTTACATTTACTACCCCCCAATTCCTCACTGAATACATGGCATGCATAGCCAACCAATCAATCATTATTTAAAATTCAATATAGAAAAGTCAAAGGTAATTACTTACCTACTAACAAAGATCTTGAAATTGGATGAGCAGCCACTTCCTTCCCTTTATCCTTCTATCTTTTGTGAAGCTTCAATATCAACAATCTCTGCATTTTAAAAAGCTCATGAACCAGTTAATATGTCATTAGATGATTCATAACATGGTATCAGGTCATGAACAATTTAACAAAAAAACATAATGTGTTAAGATCCGATTGCAAGGTATGGAAAATGTGGGGATCATAAGGTTTTGGGCTCTTCAACTATAATAGCAGCCAGCTTTTGTAGTGTGGCTTCCCTAAGATGCTTATCAATTAGTATCAAAGCCTTCCACAATGTTTCTCAACTGTAACCGAGGAGTGGGGTGGTGATGCAGGCATTGTAGTGTTTAGAGCACAACAAGCCCATGTGAGCCATGGGGCTGCGGAGCGTGGTGGGGATGTTGGGATCTAATTACAATTTTTCCTTTTACATTACTTTGCTAAGAGCATTGACAATAACAATTGAACACAAGAAAAAAAAATACAAGTATCTAAAACCAGGTGTTTTCATTTCACACTCAATAGAGCCACATATCTTGAATTCAAGCTGGTGTGATTGGTGTGATCTCTTTGATAATAATATTGGGAGTAGTAAATTTGAAGGTAGCAGAATGTAGGGAATATAATGGATTGAGCAACGTTGAATACCCTGCCATAAATTGCAGAAAACACAGTGCAGTTTTGACAGAATTTGGTGGGGTTGGTGATGGAAAAACATCAAACACGAAGGTGTTTCGATCTGCAATAAGCAAACTAAGCCAATATGCTTCTGATGGAGGTGCACAACTTATTGTGCCACCTGGCAAATGGCTAACGGGACCTTTCAATCTTACAAGCCATTTCACTCTCTTTCTCCAAAAGGGTGTTGTTCTTCTTGCTTCTCAGGTTTAGCCTCTAGCCACTGCTTTCTCCATTCTCTTCCATTTACATTTTTAGACTCTATGATCTTCTAAAGGGTCACTTACATTACCACATTAACAGGATGAATCAGAATGGCCCCAACTTCTTGTACTACCTTCTTATGGAAGAGGAAGAGATGCTCCTGGTGGAAGGTTTAGCAGTCTAATTTTTGGGACTAACCTCGTTGATGTTGTAATAACTGGTAATTATTTATTCCAAAAAATAGAATGCTATTAAAGGTTGTTAAGTTTGTTTTAAGGTGGCCAAATATTATTAATCTGACCTATTTGAATTTGGTCTTTAGGTCAAAATGGTACAATTGATGGTCAAGGATCTTATTGGTTGGACAAGTTCCACAAGAACCAATTGACTCTCACCAGGCCATACATGATTGAGATCATGTACTCTGATCAAATTCAAATATCAGATCTCACTTTGGTCAATTCCCCAAGCTGGTTTATCCATCCAATTTACAGCAGGTTTGTTATAAGGCTTGTTCTTTCTGATCAAATGTATTAAAATTTCGCACTCTTTTTTTATTGATGTATAGTGTGCTTCATTATTTTGACCATGGTTTACATCTTCAGTAACATAATTATAAAAGGGCTTACCATTCTTGCACCAGTGACCTCTCCCAACACAGATGGAATAGACCCAGGTGAAATGTTTGTTTTCTATTATATACTTATTTTCACTTTTGATGGAAAACTTACGTCACTAAATTTCTAACCTTTCTCCCTTTCTTGTGTAGTTTATAGTTTGATAACATACTTATTTTTCTAGTCATAATAGGGGCATTGATACTAAAATGTTTTTCATTACTTGGATTTCCTATATTAGTTGACAACCACTGTCTATATTCCTAACTTTTTTTTCTCTTCTCCACAGATTCATGTACAAACACTAGGATTGAAGACTGTTACATTGTTTCTGGTGATGATTGCATTGCAGTAAAAAGTGGGTGGGATGAGTATGGAATTAGATTTGGAAAGCCAACCCAACACTTAATCATTAGAAGGGTGACTTGTATATCCCCAGATAGTGCCATGGTTGCATTAGGAAGTGAAATGTCTGGTGGAATTGAATGATAGAAATCTTTTGATAGCAATGATATGTATATTAGTGTATATAGCAATGATAGAAATCTTTTGAATAATTGCTATATTAATTGGATACTGGTATTTGTTTCACCATTACATATAAGAATCTGTTTGTTTTTATCATAACTACATACAAAGCCTTTTTATATATCAGTGATGGAATTTAACATAAACTTGAACAATTCAACTGGCACTTTTATGCAAACTTGTTGACCCTCATATTCCACATGGGCAGCATGCTATTTCATTCTTCAACATGATTGGAAAAATCAAACTCAACTAGCAAATTTACCAGGAAGAAAACCAGTAACAATATAGTAGCGCATGAACTAGTTTTTGGATGCTTACCACGCAGAAGCGCAATACACAGACAAAACAAGCTTGATCTCGCTGTCCCAAAAAGACCCTTGGCTAATGTTGTTTAGGGCCTGCACACAAGCATTTTGATATAGGAACAAGAGCAAAACAACATAATCTCATTAAATTTGTCATACTTACATGACACTTATATAGCGCTAAGAGGAATACTAACAACACCCTCTTTTACACTACTATTATTGACAAAAAAAATTACTGGAAATCACACATTTAAGTGGGTCCCACTTCTCATTTAATGCTTCTCTATCCTGATTTTCATTTAATGCTTCTCTATCCTGATTTTTTTGTTTTCAGTAATTTTAACCAATTATGAAGACTGTGTTAGAGAGTGGGCTACTAGCATTCCTCTCGAGCTAAAGTTGAATGTTTAGAGAAATATCAGATGGAATAATTTATTGTCCAAGAAAAACCATTTTCATGAAAAAATTAGCATATGTGGCACTGATAATATACTCACTTCAAAAACTACAATCTATAATAAAACTTATCATAGCTCTCATAGAAATTAAATCATGATATAACATGCTTTCTAAAAGAACACAGAGGATCAACTGAAGAGTAAATTGGTTGCTAATCACTTGTATTAGATGATCACCTTTTTGAAAGTTCTTTTCTATGAACTATAAGTGCAGGTATCAGATAAACTAGAAGATAAACAGGTAGTGCTCATTTGTACGCTTGAAGGAAAAAACTGAGGATATGTCCACAACATGATTGATTCCCATGTACAATCTGCAAAATATCATTGATTTTAAATGCCACAAAAAGGGACACAAATCACAATTGTCTATCCGTGCATTGTCTATCCTAGTGAACAAAATTTAGTGACACAAATCACAATTGTCTATCTAGTGACACATTTAAAACTGAAATTACACAATGCACGGTAAAGTTGAACACAATGAAGAAAAAAAGAATCAATGCCATTAGTCACATTAAACACAATGCACAATTTTGATAGGGCCAAGAAAAGAAAAGAAAAGAAATTTGTATGCTTTCACCAAAGTGCAGACAACAACATACATCAGACAAAACCCAACTCAAACCCTCAAAACAATATGGACCAATCCACTCAACACAGAAATCAACTAAACGAAACCATCAATACTCAATCCACCCAAAGCACATCAAAATTAAACAAAACAGTCCAGAATCGAGAAAAGTGCATGCAAGAAATCATATCAAAGTAGAATAATATGAAACACTAGGCTTGACCCGTGGCCTCCCTGACTCACCTTTAGGTCACGACAAACTCAGTGGCCCCATGGGGGGTGGACTGGACCGAGGAGAAGCGGTGACTGCAGCAGGTGGTGACTGCAGCCGGCGTCGAGGTGATTCCCGTTCTGGGTTACAACGATGCTCGTGATAGGGGGCAACAGGGGGTGTGGTGGTGTGGTGACCTGGAAGTTAATCTGCGGCTGGGTTTCGCGGTGACCCGCTATGGGAAGTGATGCGCGATGGTTTGGGGCAAAGGGAGAGATTCAACACAGGGTGAGGGAAGTGGAGCACAGTGGAGACATTGGTGGTGAGGAGTGGGGGTTGGGACGCTCGATGGTGGTGGTTGTCGCGGCTGGCGACGAGCTTTGGTGGTGGATGGATTAGGGTGAGGTCGCGACTGTGACTTGGCCTCGCGGTGGCTAGCAACAAATGCTAGGAGGTGCGACCAATGGCTCAACGAAGGGGACGATGACCTCAGAGTGGCGGTGCATCGTGAAGATGGTGGTGGAGGCCGCGAAAGGGGGGGTTCATGGTCGTGAGACATGGTGGTTCCGGTGAGGGTGATTGGGCGAGAATCTGCAGGCAAAAAGCTGAGATGGGGTGCGACCGCGAGGTGGTTCTGCGTTGGTGAGAAGCTTTGGTGAGTGAAGGTGGAATTAGGGCACGGGTATGGCTGTGGTGGTGATGGGGAAGAAGCCCGGTGGTGGAGAGAATAGGGTTGGGTATATGGGTTCAAATGAGGGTACCGTGTGGGGTGCTCAAGAGTGGGGAGGCTACAGTCAAGGTTCTGGTGAAGGAGGTGGGCTACGGGTTATAGTGTAGGTTAGTGAAATTGAGGGAGAGGAAGGAAGGAGTTTGGAAGGTTGGGTGAGGCGCGGAGGAAGTGTGAAAATGAGGGTCTGAGTGAGGGGGTTTATTTTTTTTTTAATTACCCATCCGTAGGTAAATGAGTAGGTAAAGTAGTAAAAGAACATTACCTACCTCCTATATCCGTAGGTAATGCATAATCATCTCATCCGTAGGTAAATTCCGTAAATAATAGATAATTTACATATGGATAAAATTCCGTAGATAATATTCGTATGTAATATATATTTTACCTACAGATTTTTATCCGTAGATAATAACCCGTAGATAATCAGCTTTTTTTTTTGTAGTGAAAAAATGAGTAATCTAGTGACTACTTATGTTGGTCAAATATAATTACAAATAGACCCTTTGCACATCTAGGAGGAAATAATATGAATGGGGGAAGTTTGTCAATACAAAGAAATAATCATGAGGTGCCAATAAATGAGAGATATATTTGGACTATGCCTAATTGGCAACCTACTCCTAACCCTAGTAGAATGAATGATTGTAATCAAAATCAAATTTGATTAGGAGGTGATATGGAGTATGGAATAAATAGTCTCAATTTTGACAATGTGAGTACAAGGATATGAAATAGTTCTTTAATAGTGATAAGACAACAAATTGAAAATAGTAACCATGAGATGGTGAATTTGTTATCACAACAGATGACTAATTTTGAGAGGTTAGTGCATGAGATTGAGGAGTGGTAACGTTAACATGTCAAATCCAAATACACAAAGTTCTACACTTAGTTCTACATAAGTGTCCAGTACAACACATATTAGTACGAATAATGAAAGATTAGAGGTTGATATTGGAAATGTGGTCAATAATTTAATGAGTGAAGAATGATCAAGCTAATATAGGAATGTTAGTAATGCAAAGTACGAGTAATGTAGTAACTACTTATGTTGGCCACATATAACTACGAATAGATCCTTTGCAAATCTAGGAGGAAATAATATGAATGGGGGAGTTTGTTAGTACAAAGAAATAATTAAGAGGTGACAATAAATGAGAGATATCCTTGGGGTATGCCTAATTGACAACCTACTCCCAACTATGCTAGAATGGATGATCGTAGTCAAAATCAAATTTGATTAGGAGGTAATAGGGAGTTTAGAAGAAATAGTCTCGATATTGACAATGTGAGTACAAGGATATCGAATAGTTCTCAAAAAGTGATAAGACAACAAATAAATAATAATAACCATGAGATGGTGAATTTGTTATCACAACAGATGATAACAATCCTAAATCCTTTGGTACAAACCAATGCTAATAGTTTTCATAGGTTAGTAGAACAAATGTCTAGAATAGGGGATGCATTAGCCATTCCTGGAAGAGGGAACTTAGATAATAATGACTTCCAAATAGGAAACAATCGAAATGATAATCAAGGCCAGAATAATTCCCAAAATATTTAGGAGAACCTTAATCAAATGACATACATTCAGACGATTAGGAGGGGTCAAAATATTGACCAAGTGTTACAAATGAGAAATAATGTGAGGAGGAAACATGATGAATAACATGTATAATTAAAATAATGCTTATAATCATGTAATGAGATTAGGAAATGATCGACAAGACGTGGGTATTGGATTGTATAATTAATCTTATTTTGTTTCACCTTTTCCTGATTTTATACTTGAAGCAGAATTACCTCGAGGGATTAAAATACCAAAATTTACTAAGTTTTATGGTGATATAGGAGAGTCTACAGTGGAACATATTGCTCGATATCAAATCGAAAGTGAAAAAATTTTAACAAATGAAAACTTGACGATGAAGTATTTTCCTAATTCTTTAACAAAGAGTGTTTTTACATGGTTTACAACACTTCCTCCAAATTCAATCTATAATTTAGCTCAACTAGAGAGAAATTTTCTTGAGGAGTTTTTTAGAGGGGAAATATAGGTTAACTTGATTGATATAGTGAATGTGAAAATGTATCATAATGAGAATATCGATGGTTAGCTTAATAGGTTTAGAAAGATGAAGTCTCGATGCTTTACTCAAATACCTAAGAATGATGTGGTACGAGTGGTTGTTACAAGATTAGACTTTTCTATTAGAAAGAAATTAGTAAATTTTCCCTTAAGTAATATGGCCTAGTTGACTGATAAAGTTCAAAGGATTGAACAAATAAAATATGAGAAAGAAATATATAGAAAATTTGGAAAATGAGTTAAAAAAGATAAAATCGGACATGTCAATGTTGTCAGAAATGGAGGCTGAGATCAAGAGGGGGGTGAATTGATCTTTGAAAGATTTTTGCAAATTACAGATTATCTATTTCAAAGATTAAGAGTTCTGACCAATTCTTGAATCAAGCAAAACAAACAATCAAAATAAAGGTAGCAGCAGAATTAAAGAGAGAAAGGTTTAGAGAGATATAACCAAGATTTATACTGGTTCACCCAATCCTAGGGCTATGTCCAGTTCTCAGCCAAATTCCAGCTGAGTTCCACTAGATTGAATGTTTTACAGATTATAGATTCCAATCACACACCCAATCTACCACAAGAACCAAA